CAGCGTCGCTCAAGGCGAGTTGGCTGTCATCGGAAGCGTCTGGACGCTGATGGGAACCACTCCGAGCACCTCTTGCAGTTGCAGAAGTCAGATGTGACTTGTATGCATCTCTTGTTATCAGTATATACGGAACGTTACAAGTATAATGCAGTTTTTCCCTTTCTTAAAATGTGTGTCCATTTTTGGCACCCTCCGTCTTTAAAAGAAGCACCCCATGCTTCCCTGCAGCCTCTGCAAATGCGGCAGTTCCCTTAAACCAGCCCACATCGCCCTTTGGTTGCTGTGGACCTTTGCCCCGACTCCAGCTCTGAGCTGGACAGAGGCGGCCCTAACGCCCCGTGTCAGCTCGGGAGATCAGCGGGCCTGTTCAAGAGCAGCCGAGCAGGACCTGCAACAAAGCGTTGCAGCGTATGCGTATCTCTGAATTGCTGTGCTCCTGTTTGGAGTTTGTCATCCGGCGGGCTAACTGGCCAGCCACAAATTCTTCCAGGAAGCCACATGCACTAAACCTGCCCGCCCCTTGAGATCTGCAGCAGAGGCCCTTCTGTGGGAGCCCCCTTTGAAGGCGATTAGGAGGGGGGCTACCCAGAGAACAGCCTTTTCGGTGGTGGCACCCCAACTTTGGAACACGCTCCCCAGGGAGGCTTGCCTGGCGCTGGCGCCGGCGCCTTATTCTTTTTGGCATCGGGTGAAACCCTTTCTATTTTCCCAACATTTTAATATTTAATCAGTTTTATCTTTGATTTTATCACAAATGGTCAGGTGCAGTGTGTTGTTTGTTGGTATGTTGTTCTTTTCGTTCCATTTCTTTTGTAAACTCTCCAGAGACTGTGCAAGACGGCATATAAAAACTTTAAATAAATAATAAATAAAGCCGCCTTCCCCAGCCCTGTGCCTTCCAGACATGTGTGGACTACATCACCCAGAAGTCCCAGTCAACAGCACTGCTGGATGGGGATGCTGGGAGTTGTAATTCAAATGTCCCCGAAGGCTACCAGGTGGGGGAAGCCTGCACTAAGGTGATGGAACAGGGCATTCTGGATAGCTTTTGCCCCTTTAGGTTTGTTCTGTTTTTAATACTTCTGCAAATCTTGAGGTTCTGCTGCCTATGCCGAGCCGTCTTCCGTCTTCCCCTCTGGTTTCCCAGGTGTCCTGTGGGCCTCCATTGCTGTTGGCACTGGCCAGCTGAGCTTGCTAAGAGAATGGATAATTTATAGGGCTGCAGAGAAGTTGTTTACGTTCCCAGACCATACAAGTGTGTCTGATTCATAACCCCAAATAGGACCATGAGCAGAAGAACCTGCTCGCAAAAGTGCCAGTCTCAACCTTTTACTTCTGGGGGAAAAGCAGCACTTTGGTGTGTTTATTTTTTCCGGAAATGCGCATTTCCCCCTTTCAAATTATGCTCTTAAAATGAGAAACGAGTTCAAGTGAACACGGGAAACAAGGTGAGCGAAGCTACAACTGGTGTTCACAGATTCTCACTGACTGCAAAAAATTGTGTGTTTACCCATCCTTAGTAATTTGGGAACATGTTTTTCTTTTAAAAAAATATCAGTGTGAATTGCAGTCTTTCTGGTTTCAGTCCTTGTAGTTTGGTCAGGTGGAGTTATTTGCAATGAATTCCTTGGGCACCAGCCAGGGGTTGGGAGGGCAGGAGCCGAGGAGTTTGGGGTAGGAATGCCTGAAGAATTCCACCCATCTGAAGCTCTGAATGCAAGCACGTGATATTGCTGGATTGCCAGTCCCATCACCCAACACCTGTGCTGACTGGGGCTGATGGGAGTATCTGTCCAACCTTCTGGGGTCTTCAGGTTTCCCTGCCTGAGTAAGAAGTCGGGTCCGTGAAGGGGCCATTTGGGAAGCTGTCGCACCTCAGCGGCTCGTTTGAATTGCCGGCACTGAATGCCTCCGTGTCGACGTGGTTCCCTCTTGCACGGAAGCCCATGTTGCGCGCAAGGTTCTCCTCTCCTCCCTTGTATCCGTGCAACACCCCTTTGGGGTAGGTTGGACCGAGAGCCACTGGTGGCTGGAAGTCACCCGGGGAGCTTCGGGGCCAAGTGGGGACTAGAACCCGGACCTCCTGGGTCCCAGCCCGGCGCGCTCACCGCCACACCGTGAGAGAGGGGAGGGTGGTCTGGCTGCGCCCGGGCCAGGATGAGCGGACCGCCTCCGGTTTGCATGAATGAGTGCGCCGACTTGCATTTGTGAGACGCTGGCAGGCAGAGTTCGTGACCCAGAAAATGCAATCAACCGTGTGTATGCTCAGAAGCTGGATCACCACCTGAGAGTTCAGGGGGGCTTTTTGCCAGCCCCTGTACTGCATGCTTGGCTGTTTGTTTGTTTATTTATTTAATTTATTTATTTGGAATTTTTGTATGCCGTCCCATTCGCATAAGCCTTGGGATGGCTTCCAACATCATAAATAAATACACATACAAATAAATACATATAAAATCTGGAAGCATCCTGGCTAAATATTTTAAAACCAATAAATAATATCAACAATTATTAAAATACCGTTTAAATAAAAAGGTCTTGGCCTGGCACTGAAAAACAGACAATGATGGTGCCAGGCGGACCTCTCTGGGGAGGCATTGCATAGGCGGGGTGCCACTGCAGAGAAGGCCCTCCTCTGGGTACTCACCCTCCTTATATCCTTCACGGAGGGCTCCCGGAGAAGGGCCTCTGGCGCTGATCTCAGGGGGCAGGAGGGCAAATATGGACGCAGGCGCTCCTTTAGGTATCCAGGTCCCAAGCCGTGAAGGGCTTTGTAGGTGATAACCAGCACCTTGAATTGAGCCCGGACTTCGATGGGGAGCCAGTGGAGCTGACGGAGGACTGCCGCTGTGTTGCGTTTCTCCATTCATGGTACTAACAGAGTGCGAGACGGGGCGTGGAGAGCAACGATCCGTGGAGTGGCCGACGGTCGGGCACGGCTGCACGGCTGGCGACGTGGACCGACAGAGCACACCATGCAGGCACGGCTAACCATTTTTAAGTCACCTTTCAGTTCCGGGGCGCTGCACTCAGAGCTGATTTTTCTCTCTGAGACCCGTGGGACTTGGGGTTAATTAACCTTGGCAGGATCAGACCTGTACTTTGCAAAGTTTCTCGAAAGAGCAATGCAGAATCCATCCGTTAAGCATCACAAGTCTGTTTCGGTTTGTCATGGTGCCCTCGGCTGGGACTGCATGCGAAATTCCGGCCGTCCCGGCTGTGGCTGTGCAGGCAGTTTGCTCCATTTTTCATTCCCGGGTTGTAGGCAGGTATTTGATTGAACTCAGGTATTTGCGGCCCTTTCACCCTCCAGTGCGCCTGCCTGTTTTTCAGTTATTACATTTCTTTCCATCATCCGAGGCTGGTGCGATGCTCAGCTCAAGCTGCTTACAGCTTGCACGACATTTCAGTGGCTTTCATCGACTATCAAACCACCGGGAACTTCAGGCAATGCAGCAAAGCATGTCTCGAGGACCTGCTCTTTGGAATTGTCTTCTCCTTGGGGTAGTTGCCACACTGGCTTACTTCAGTGTGGAGCAAGACAAGAAGACTTGGGGGCTATGTTTCCTCCAGAAAGCTGGAATAGCATAATGTCTTGAGCTAGGCACAGAATTCCATTTCTTTGGAGTCTCAGATAGATTTCTTATCTTTTTGAAAGCACAAGTTTCTAGACCTTATGATTACAAAACTATGCTTGAATGTGTGCTAGCAATGCCTGCTGAAATATCAGCAGGATTGAGGGATGAGACTTCCTCTGTCCATTAATACATTTGTTCCATCCTAATTCCACGGGGATCTGGGATTTTTTAAAGAGAAAATTCCACATAAAATGTATGTCTGCTTCTATGTATTTAATACCCTGCTTTTTTTCTTCCAAGGAGCTTAGGGTGGCTTACAAAATTCTCCTCCTCCTCTAAATCTCATCCTCACAACAACTCTGTGAGGTAGACTGGGCTGAGAGTCTGTGCCCTAAAAGTCACCCAAAGAGCTTCATGGCTGAGTCAGGACTAGCAGCTAAGCCACTTGAGTCCCAGTACTGCGCTCTTAACCACTGCACTGCACCAGCTCTCAGACATGTATTTTCAACCCATTTTCTGCTAAACACCACACATTTATTCCTTAGAACATTTAGGAATAAATGTTCACACGTGTTTAGAAAGAATTGCCCAATCTTAAAACGTATTTTGCCCATATCAGATTTTGCAGCCGAGAAAGAATGTGCTGGAATTGCAAAGGCCAAATTGCAAAATGCCATCCTGTGCACATTTATCCAGGAAGGAGTGTGGAGATTGCCTCGGAGCAACCTTGCATCGCACTGAACTGCGATTTCAGGCCACGCATTAGTCCAGCCAGAGTGCATTCGGGCACTTGAGACTTGAATGCGCAGAGACTGAATTTTTCAAGCATCCCCCAGAAGCCGGCCAGAAGATTTCAGGGGGCGGGTGCCCTCGTCCTGCATGCCCGCCAGAGCCAGGAACCACGACGGGTCCTGATGCTTCTTCTGGCACACGTTACAGAAAACCAAAAGGACCCTTTACTCGAATCAGAGGGCTGGAATGAGCCATTTCAGTGATCCTTGATGGCCCTCCAAACATTTATTGGAGAGCCGTTCCCCTTTTTCAGCAGTTGTGGCTTCCTCTTGCTTTCCTTCCTTGACCACAGCTTTTTCCCCGTAAAAGCAGCCATTCCCTGGCACTGGGCAGAGGAAAAGGCTGATGCCATTAAAAGATGGCTGTTGCTAAGGCAGTTTCCTTCCAGCGTCTTGTGGTGATGCTGCATCTGTGTGGGGGAAAGAACCGGACACCTGGAAAATGCAGAGGAATGCCTGCCTTTAATCCACCATCCCAGAAAGGGATGGGACGACAGACTCCGCATTTCCTATCCCAAACAGCCCAAGAAGCAGGCAGAATTGCCCATCTGCCATCAAGAGCATTTATTTGATGCTGACGTTTGAGACGTTTGAGATCACTGAAACCAGGTTTCTTGGTTTTCCCGCACAGAGCCGGAAGCATGCGAGCAAAGTTCGGCTTTACTATATGCTCCATCCACTCGACGGAGGCTGCCCCGCGAAGAAGCTGCGGTCAGAAAATGTGAGTATTTTCGCAACATCTGTAGAAAATGTGTTGTTGCTACGTCTGTAAGCACGGGGGCTGCTGGAGCTCAGGACCGAGGTTGCCTGGGAAATAGCCCAGGGCTGTGTGAATCAGCAAAACTCACATCACTTGAAGTTCCGTGGGCTCTGTCTCCAAGCTTGATCCAACTGAAATCCATATCAAATTGCAAGCTTGGACTTTTCCACTTGAAAAGCTGCATTTCATCACGCTTCTTTCCCCAAGTGTCCGCATCAGCTATGTGCATCCTGGAAACATTTACATTTTCCCCTCATTGATTACAGCATATTTCTCCATGGACACATTTTAATGCACATTTTTCAAATGTACATGTGATGTGGAAACCGAATTTCCTTTTTGATCCAAAAATTGCACGGTAGGCTTGGAAATGAGTGGACTTCAACCACAGAGTTGCCTCTTGAATCCTTGCTCAGTCCAGAACTAGGTAGATCCTGGGATAAATTTATCCTGTATCCCTGTAATACTCAATAGGTGTGTGTATTTGGGAATGCTTGGGTAGGACTTTGGCCTATTTACCTTTGGGCACAGCCAGGGCTGTCTTAACGCAGGGGCCTGATGGGCACTTGCCCATGGGCCCCATACTAATCTGTGTGTGTTAATCCTTGGAAAATTGGGAAACTTCCAAAATTAACAGTAGTTGCAGTTGTCGTAGGGGCCCAGTGCACTGCTTTGCCCGGGGCCCGTCATGCTGCTAAGACGGCCCTGGGTGTGGCCCATCAATGCTCTTGCAGTTTTCCTCGGAGGTGGGGATCCAGTGGGCAGGAAGCATTTTGCCATAGGTGGGAACCCTAGAAAACCCCAAATTCGTACGCTTTGCTCATTATATTCTGGGAGTGATGGCTCTGCCCACACCCATAGATTGCCACAGGACTGCAAGAGCTTGAGTGGAACCCCAGTCAACACCTGTAAACGTGGGTGGAGGCACAGTTGCGTTGGCTGTGAAATGGGCACATTGCTTCTGCTACCAGCCTGGGATACGTGCCTGCTTTGTGATGCTGCAGGGCAGGGCTGTCTCCCAGGGGTGGAGGCCGCACTTGCATGCCAAAGGCACCGGATTGAGCCCTTGATGCCACCGTGAAGTGAGATCTCCAGCTGCCAGTCTGTGCCGGCAATACGGGGCTAGATAGAGCACGGCCCTGACTTGGTTTAGCAGCAGCTGCCTGCATTCTGAAGGTGTGCCTGATCTTAGGTGTGAGCTAGCACACTTCGGAGTCCTTTCCCTGGGGAAATGCCGCATCTGCTTGTGGAGACAACCGAGGGTGCCGGGATGTAAAGAGGCATCTGTCGAAACAAAAGAAGGGGCTGCGGGTGGGACTTTCAACTGAGTTTGATTTTGGGGCTGCGCGTGTCTCCCTGCATCTGTTTCTGCATCTACAAATGGTCTGAAATGTGCATGTCTGTCTTTAGAGGGCCTGCTTCCTTCGGACTTCCCTGTTTGTAAGAAGGAGCACATGGACAGGGCAGAGGAAGGCATGGGATTCGGCGAAAAACAACGTGGGCAGAAGGGCTCGTGGGCATCAGGAGGGAGCCGATGCAATGGAGACCCAGGAACCCCTGGAGCAGCAGGGGGGAGGGGCAGATTTGGGGCTCCACGTGGAATATGCAGGGCTCCAGTCCTCATGAGCCGAGTCCTAACACTGCCTTTGCAAGCAGCCAAAGAGAGACTCATTGCCAAAGATGGGCAGGTCACTCGCGTTTGCCCTTTTTGAGTTCCACAAGTGTCCACACCTAACACACGTGCAAGAGAATATTGTGATTTTCTACAACCTTTTGCAAAAAGTACATGAACTTGTACATTTAAATTGGGCAGGTTTCCCCTTAAAATCCCTATTTTATAGGCATTTCCCCTTAAAATGTGTTATTTCACAGTCTTTCGGTGACATGTTTGCATATGCATTGTAGAACTGAGAAAATAGATCACAACTTTAGAGAAATGTGCCATCTGAAAAACTGCTGCATTCCAGTTAGTTTGGGAAGTCTGGAATCAAGACCAAATTAAGTCCTCCAGGATCTCAGCTCGGGATAGAAACATACAAGCAGAGCAAGACAGAAGGGGTCTCCAGGGCCATCTAGTCTGACCCCCAGCTCCATCCAGCTCCACTCATGACATGCTCGTGATGGGTGAGAGTTTTGTATAGCTGTAAGAATTTACTATTTTATTTTAATACCTTCATAAATGGGATGGCAGGGGTTTAGGAAACAAATGGATGAAGGAGAGAGCAAAAGAGACCGGGGAGCTTTGGGGCGGCTTTTGGGTTGCCCTGGCGGTGCAGATGGTGAAATTCAGAAAGAGGAAGGGGTGTGTGTGTGTGGGGGGGGTGTAGTGCCATAGATGCTTCTTCCTCGCTTAGTTGCCTCTCAGTGTCTTGCAGGGTGTGGGAAGGCGGCTGGGCAGGTTTAGCAGCTGCTCAAACACCAGCTGGGGCCAGGTAGGGAAAGATGCCCTCAGGGGAACCCTGTTGAAAAAGAGAGAGAGAGCGAGAGCAGAGGGAAGATAGGGTGACTTTGGTGACCTTGATCTCCCCCTTTTATGTCCAACAATGGCCATGGGGAGGTATTATTATGGGATATCTGATTGCCTGGCATCATTTGCGTGGGCCATCCTGGAAAGAGAGAGAAGCAGGCACTGAGCAGGGGAAATGGGTGTCCAGTTAAAACAGACTCCAAGATCAGGGAAAGGCCCATGTGTGCAAAACTGGATGGGGCTGTCAGGTGGGGTGGAGGGTCCGTCCCCCAAAACTGGGTGAGGGGCCTTCTGCAAGGGGAAGGCTCTCTTGTAGAAGGCAGAGGTTGTTTTCCTTGGAGACAAGCCGCTGTTTTTCCTAAATGTTGGGGTGCCAGGCAAGGTTAAAACCCAAGAATCGTTTAAAGGAAGATTTCTTCACTGTTTCACAGCACATGCATCTTGGGAACCCAACCCCCAGAGCTATCGAGGGTGGATGTGATTAGATTTATTGTCTGTGGCAGTCCCCAGAAATATATAGAAATCGAGCACAAAGCGAAATAACCTTGGCATAATGCGATCTTAATGCGATCGCAAAATCCTCCCCGATACATTTTGCCGAGGACACAAAAAGGGCTGCAACTAATTGGTGCAGAGAGGCAAGTGAATCGGTGAGCAGAAGGCAGACATGGTTTTGTCAGTGCACCAGGAGAACCGTTGCAAGAGCGCCCCTCCGCATGTCTTCCCCGCTCCCAGGTTGCGTCTTTGTATTGGCAGGCTCAGGATGGAGCCCTCTTAGGACAGCCACGTGTCCTCTTTTATGGAGGGCTGTCCTCAATTTAAAGCCCCCCCCCCATCTCTGACAACCTGCCCATCCCAAGCCCAGTTTAAGGATGAAGAACCCTAAGAAGGGAGAGCCGTGGGAGGCCTTGCAGCCGCACCTGTCACAGGTGGACTAGACAAGCACACGCGTCTTCTGGCCACGCCTTCCACACTACGGAGCCTTGTGCAGGTTTCTCCTTAAATCATAGCACCGATGTGCAGATGTGCACCTCTGGATGTCAGCCGTTGGGTCACAGCAGCTCAGCGGGTAGGACCTGAGCTTGTTGACCAGGAAATCCAGCAGTTGGTCCAGGGGTCCGAAGACGTGAGGCGCACCTCAGGACCATCTAATGCAGTCCCTTGTTTTCCATCAGCAGAGCCTCTGATGCCCCCAGAAAGCCAACGAAGAGAGCAGAATGGCCCCATCCGTGACTTTGGACACGGAGGCTCTGCTGAGCAAGTCACCGTGATCGAAAGACCGCAGTGCATTGGCCGTCCTTGTTTAGAAAAGCCATCTCAGTTAGTGACCATATCCGTTTTCTGCACAATTTGATACCTGCTCCCAGAAAGATAAAAACTCAGGACATTCTAGGGCTTTTGGTATGTATTGTTGCATTTCAGCAGCTCATGGTCCGTGCCTGCTTTTTCAGCCTCTTAGGCAATCCCACTCCTTGCAAAACTTGGGGAACAGAGATGTCAAAATATTTTATTCCACCCACCGACACCTCGCTTGTTGGGCCCCGTGCAGTGGGACTGGCCGCAGCTCTGTGGGCTTTCGCGAGCCCTCCCCGTGCCCCTCGCAGCGACTCGGCCTCAAACCGTCGGGCTGCTCTAGTTCCTTCTGCAGGCTGTACAAGATGCGCTTTGAAGTGCTGGCATGTTACTTAAAAAGGAGCTCTGTGAATTAACGGTATGTCTAGACTTGAATATGGAATCACAGGAAGACAGACATCATGGCATGGCAGGGGAAAACGGAGCACAATGAAATATTCATCTATCCGGAAATGATTCTCATGCAGCAAACACGCTCGATGCGCCAGGAGTGGCAGATCTCTACGCAGGGGCCCCGTGGGCGGCGCCCGGGGCTGCAGAGGGCAGCGTTTGGGGAAGAGCTGTCAGGCCCTGGTCTGACTCTGCCCACCCAGGCAGGCCGCTGGATCCTGCCAGGCAGGAAGAGACAGGCCAGGGCATGGGGCTCCGTTTAAGGGTTGCTCGAGCAACTGCGTCTTCCAGTACTCGGATATATTCCTGCGTCTTCGATCCTCGATCCTGCACCCCCAGTTGGGCCTTTGTCCAGCCCCTGCAGTCAGTTATTTGCGTACCACCTGGAGCTCAATGATAAGCAAGCCAGTTTACACGGTAGGGGTTTTTTTTTTCATCTTCATGGAAGATGGAAATGTCCCCTTTTGGAGTTCCGAATAATCTGCTGTCACTTGTGAGGTTCTTTAGAAATCCTCTGCCACATCTACAGCCTGTGGGAGCCCCTGGCTCACTCCTGCCCTCCCTCTGTGGTGGAACGGAGGATTTTGCCAGCAGAAGTGAACAACTGCAACCTTTCGTGGGACTTCAGACCTGGAAGAGCAGCTCCTTCAGCCGGTGTCCGGTGCTGTTGGAGAGGGACCCCAGCAGGGATCGGTCCCTCGGAAACCCTGGTCTGTCGGGGTCTATGCAGCACACAAGATCCCCTAATAAA